CCGTATTCCATCTCTCTCTCTCACCCTACCCTCGCTTGACCAAGTCGGAGTGTTAAAACTGCCGTTTCTATCTACACCCGATTACCGACCGGTCACTGTTTCATGGGTTTCAAACCAAGAGTCTCTCACTTACAGCATGCTCAGTTCTGTACGGAATGCCCTTCAAGATGAACCTACGTGAGTCGGACAAAGCTTAGAATTGAATCACGCGCTGTCATATACCATGTCCTGTTGATATTTTTCAACCATTATGGATGGTTTAGAAGAATTCCCGGCACATAATTAGAATCCAGCACATTTTAAAACTTATCTCTTGCTTATGAAGCTCAAATCACCCAAGAATTTATTGTTGCGCATTACTACTCGCAATTTGGATTCAGTAGACAAAACCACTAACTCTTAGTGACTAGGTTTTCAAGCAAGAAATGTCAATCAGCGGAAACGGGATATCTCGGGAACCTTATGAGGAGGACCGTGGAGTGGCACGATTCCAGAGCTTCTATATGCCCCATGAGTAGTATTGAAATCTGTTGATTAGCTGTGAAATACACTGACTGCCTGAGCGATCGGTTTCCAGGCTATACATAATGGAACTCCAGGTAAATCACATCGTTAATGCTATTCAACCAGTCACTGTCTTGGATAAATGGCTCCTCATTCCACCGTTGGTGTGCTGGGCGAAATATTTCCATATATTACTATAAGAAAGTTGCCGACGAAGAGATTTCGGTTCTTCAAGAGGAACCAACAATGGTTGAGTCCGAAAAGAAACCTCGATTGGTAGTGCCCGAACAACCTTCAAGAGGAAGATGGACATTGTTATGGTGGTAGAGTGTCAAACAATTTCAGACGGCCTTTTCAGAGCGATTTGCATTCGCGCAACCTCCGGTGTCATCAAGCGCGATGTTGGAGGCTTGTTTTTTCTGGAAGGGGAAGACTATAACCTTAGGAATACTTTCCGTCTAACCCGATAGATAGAATAACCGGTTTTTAGCTCAGCGCGATATCGTGGGTAGGCGCATGTACCGTTGAGACCGGCCTTTGTGGCAGAAGTGGACTCGGACCATTGAGGTCGATGGCTAACTTTGCATGCTTGTAGGGTAGAGCTCTCCTGTTCGCTTGCTGACCATCGGAATACTTTTGGCCAGCAGTGCTGCATCTTCGTGTATCTTTAAAATGGCCTCCTATCTCGAATGAACGACTTCTCGGTTATCAACTCAACTGCCCCTTTGATTCTTCGGTATAACTGAACTCTATTTCAGTTTTGAAAGACCCTTGTATTTGCCGATTTTCTGGCTACGCAAATCGTCTTTACCGCTTCCGATATACTAATTTTGTACCAAGATTTCGGTCAGCTACAAATTTGTTTTAATGCATCAATTTGTGTCCCGGTTTCGATCACACGCTGAGTGATGATCCAGGTCAGCTTTGCTTGCTTTTTGCACTACCTCGAGATTCGTCGAAAATCGTTGAGGTTTTTAATTTTTGTATCAATGTAGTCACGTTTGTTTTTATTGTATGACACAATTGCCTAACCATTTGTTTGGAGTTTTGCCGGTTCGGTTGCTTACTTTGGAGCACAAAGATGGCACTTGCGGATTGGCACTTGTGCGAACGTAGAAAGTTCTATATCCATTTCGGAGTCAAAGGCCGACAGTTTAGATCACAGGACAATATACCCGGGGTTCGAATTAAATTAACCCATTCGAAACGTGCTGATCAGAAAATCATTACCGCACAATAGCTCACGTTTCTGAAAGTAAAATCGCCCTAAAACCGTTCTGTTGTATTATATATTATTATATACATTATTCTATTAGCATGAATCCCAATCGTCGGATTGTCTGGAAAAAGGAGAGTTGATGTTCCATGTCACTTGTCGTGGAGTGGTGAGCACCCGTTAATCGACAAGGTNTGAAGTCATAAAAGTGAATTTTCTCGATTTTTGTGGCCATGCGGGACAGACAAATAAATGTGGATTTCAAAACACGATCCATTAAATGAAAACAATGAGCGTAAACCAGGTAAGAGCCTCAGATTCAAAACGAATGCTTGGTGATATCTTGTGAGAAGCTTCATCGAAAACATCGGGAATAGTTCTAAACACATTTGCACGATAGTCTTACAGCTCAAAGAACATCTTTGAAATCTATGCCGTATTAAGTTGGCGCCAATCTTTGCAATCGTATTGGACAAGACCACCGTGGGGTGAAAACTATTTTTAAATGTGCAACCCATAATTATTCTTATGTTTGGCACATGGCGTAGGGCTGAACAGTGTTCTTCCACAGCTTTTCCTCGAATTCATGCCTACTCAAATGCTCTCTAAGTAGCCACTTTTAAATAGCAGTAAATCGGTCATTTAAAAACAAGTTTGCAGACATCAGCGAAGATAGTTGCAGAATACTGTAACCTGTTTGAATAGTCAGCATCAGCTCTTACCATCAGTATGTTTTGCACTTCCTTATATGTGGTTTTTGACGACGAATCATCACCATCATCATCGATAGCATGACATCAGCGTTCAACACTGATTCTTCACTGTCGTACAACCATGATTTATTTATTTGAAAGCCTTATTGTAAAGAAAAGAGTAAAGGTGGACGGGGAAGGAACTTAGTGCTAGCTTAACACAATCATTCCGAGCTGCGTACACCTCCAGAAATCAAGAACACCACTGACATCGGTTGGCAGCCATATCTTGTAATGTCTCCAACCAGGCACAGTGAGGATCATGCGGTCCCCATCCTGGAAGGTGAGTAGCACCGACGGCACCCAAGCGTTTCGTGATCTCCTTCATGCTCCTCTGCCAGGTCAAGGGTTGGTCACCTCTTTGTTTACGCCACTCTGAGTTGGGCATGGAAAACGATGGCAAACGATGGTTCCGCATACGTAACACATGTCGCAACCAACGCAGCTTGTGGTGCTGGACACATTCTTCAATGGAAGTACCCGTTACACAACCGAAAACGCGATTTCTAACTGTCTCGTTACGGATTCGCCGACACCAACTCACACGAGCTGTGGTTCTGATTGTCGAACACCTGAAGACATCTTAGTTCCGCTGCACGAATAGGCCAAGTCCCAAAGCCATACAACAAAACAGCCCGTACTGTGGCTTTATACACACGCCCCTTTTACAACTGTCTTTGTACCGCTTTATTGACATCCATTTTTCAATACGCTACTGTTCATAGATCCAGCAGAGCCGAAAATTTAAAAACTCAAAATTTAAAGTTTCGTAGAATCCAAACAGTTTGTCGAAACACTTAAAATTTGTAATCTTTGCATCGATATAGACGAGCTCATTTTTATTTTTATAATACGGCACACTTGCCTAACTATTCGTTCGGAGTTTTGCCGGTTTGGTTGCTAACTTTGATGGTCTTTGGCCGTGAAATCAAAACAGTCGTTATATGCATATTATCGGGATAAGCAGAACCATGCCACTCGAGAACTGGCACTTCTGCGAACGAAGAAAGCTGCATATTCACCATCCAACTTGGAGTCAAAGGCCGACAGTTTAGATCACAGAAAAACATACCGGGGTACAAGTTTACCAATAAAATTCGAAACGTGCTGATAAGAAAAACATTACCGCACGATGGCTCATGTTTCTGAAAGTAAAATCGCCCCGAACCTGTTCTGTTATATTATATATTATTATTTCCATTATTCTATTATCATGAATCCCAGTCGTCAGATTACCCGGAAACCAAGAATTAACCATCAAATAAAAAGAAGAGTTGATGTTCCACGTAACTTGTCGTGAAGTGGTGAGCACCCGTTAATCGACAAGGTTCACTGTCTTTGCGGATCATTCAAGTGCGGTCCACTTTACAATTTTCAGGTAATTTGAAAATTCGACACCTGCATATCAAGGTACAGAGTAGTTTGCCACAAGAAGCTAAACTTCCAAGAGGTCAGTCGCATCGCTTGTTGAAGAGCTACTATCTACAAATATGTCGTGAACTTCCGTACATCCGGATTCACAGCATGTAATGAAGAACGATACTAGGTGCATTTGCTTGCCTGGAAGGGAGTATGTCCCCCTGCATCATATCCCGAACACCATATTCCGCATCGTTCTAGGTCAGACTGAATGACAACAGTACAAACCTTGTGATCCGAGAGCCCGAACACCTATTCCGCATCGTTCTAGGTCAGACTGAATGACAACAGTACAAACCTTGTGATCCGAGAGTCCGGGAATTCTACGTGTCCCATACATCAGGCCTGGTACATCAATCTACTGGTTGATGATCACGAAAAGCTCACTTCCGTTAGAACCGGTTAAAATCAGACTCCGTCCAAATGTTCTGTCGACATTCTCTAGAGAGGTTTCTCTGGCAATTTGGTTGATTTGAATACAGACGAACCTAGACGGGGGATGAAGTTACCATTAAAAATCGAAACATGCTGATCAGAAAAACATTGCCGCACAATGGCTCAGGTTTCTGAAAGCAAAATCGTCCTAAACTCGTTCTGTAATATTATTCATTTACTGTTGTTACCACACAGAATCACATATGAACATCTTGAATATTGCAATCTTTTTGTTCATTCAGACCAATGTCCCTTCTCGCGGACTGAGCAGAAACACTATATCTCGTTTCTTGTTCTCGTCCAGAGATTCCATTCCAGCATCGTCAGTCTACCTGATGTGAGTCCTGTAATTCGACGACGAAACTGTTTCGAACGCGGCAGCTGTGTCGTGGGGTTTGTACAAATTATTTTATCAGTATAGAACACTCATTTGCAAAAACAAAATTTGGTTTTGCGGCTGGAATCGGTTGGTATTGCTCTTCGAATTGGTATTGTTCCCCACCAGTCAGGTCCCTGTGTTTTCTTACAGTCGGCGCTTCCCACGGAGTCTATGTTTCTCCTTAGCGTCACAATTAATGACAAATACGCCAATAATGTATGTTTTCACAATTTTTTTGGAAGTTACCGTGAAGCTCAATTTGATAAGACATGCTTTGATGTGAAGTTCAACTTCTACTACTCAAGCCGGTTAATTTCCAAAAGTATAATTTTATCACTATCGATTTCTTTTTTCATCTACAGGATTAGCTGCAACCTAAGATATTGTGTTCATGGGTGCTGCTGTACTTATGAACGACCAAGGCTGTGATCTATATTCAAACCGCGCGAGACACGAATTCAATGCTGAAACTGCATTGGTTGGTATAGCTGAACAACTGTGCAGACTCACCCGTGTTTATCGCAAAGCGGTGGGGATTGGCCAAACGAGAAAGAACGACTTGGATTAGTGGACTGACAGCGAAATACTCCGGCCAGTCAAACACGTCAAGGCACTGGGAACTGCCAATTGCGGAAATCATGTACCTCCTCAGTTTGTTCTACCTGTCTGCATTGATCAATCCTCATGTGTGTTCCACATGTCCACCTGATTTTCGAATAGAGAATGAGGGTGTATGTATTGTGGTGGGAAGATATATTTCTAACTTTTGTGCTGCGGCCGATTATTGCGCACTCTATGGACAAAGAAGGCACCAACTGGTCTACCTGATTGGCCGAAATATTCGTCGTATTCCCCGACGCATGACAGGTGCGCGTAGTTTTCAAACTGGACTGAACTTTCTGCTCGAACCACCAAATATGGGAACGCCAGTATGGCGCGATTTGGATCCCAACGATCCGGAATACACAGCCACCAAGAACGACGTCCGTTATGTGAATCGAACCACGCAACTGAGTTCGCAAGATATCTCATTGTGGTTACGAGATGTGACAGTACTTCGCAATGTTCCCCGCTTTACACGTCGACATAGGACTCGAACAATTTGTGAGTATGGTGGGAATCTTCCGGATGGCCATCTCAAGGTTCGATTTCTCAGCAATTTCCCCAAACCATTGTCGGTACTCGTGCATTCAGAAGGAAGTTTGTCTGGCTGCGAACATGTAGTGGCCGCGAGAACGAAACTGGATTGTGCACGCAGGTGAGTAAATAATCACGTTTCAGTGCGTTTCCTCAACCTAGCTTTCCTGATATTAGACCTCAAACAAAAACACTCCGAGATGAGCAATTTTCGTTCCACATTATTTGAGCAACATCGAAATATTTTGGGATCCCCGATTTGGGCTCATCATACAGGGGTAGTCATCTGGATAATCGAGGCGGATTTTGAAAGCCGGTCGTTTTGAGTGAGGGGTGTATAGCGATACTACTGTTGGCTTACACAATGAAATGCCCACGCATTGACAATTGCTTCCTTATGTTTGATCTCAGATGCGCCCTCGAACCAGCGTGTCGATCCATCTACTACGACAGCGGGAGCAACAGCTGCGTCCACATGATGCACGCCGACTCGCTGCTGTCGCTATCGGGTGCGAAACGCGGATCGGGTTGGGTCCGTTTCGCAAGGACATCCGTTGCAATGAACATGAATGGCGAAAAGTAGCTGGTGAACAGAAAAACACCCTCTCCGGCAGATTCCCTTAAATGTTTAATCTCCATACAGTTGTCACATTCTGGTTACAGAAATGCATAATTTGCTGTTCGTTTCCCTGTTGCTCATTTATTCATTGTCAAGCAGTTTCCACATATCCCTCATACCCATCAGTGCTAGCTTGCTTATTACCACCACACTGGATTGGCTCGACAGTCCTAACTTTTCCCTTCCTCGCATTTTCATTGTCTCTTCAGTTCGCTTGAGATGCATTTGTGTAGTGCCTGTTAGTCACGATGTTTGATGTGCTTTTGTAGTATCGGAAACCAATAAACTGAGTTTTTGCTTTCCATCTTTCCCGCTATCCAATTTACGTTCATTTTCACCAGCCTCATCATACTGTCGGCATTCTGAGGGTATTTGAGGAGAAATTGATTGAGTTGCAAGGCGACAGTTTATTTGGAATGTAGTCTGAAAGGTAGCTCACGTCCGCGGAAGTTCCAGCATTCTTCGTGTTTCCAATAGTTTCCGAAGTTAGCTCGGCGTCTGGATGGCCAACACCATACCTCCTCGGATAAAACAACATACAGTTTTACGAATGTCACTACTCTGTTTAATCCAGGAATATGCAGCGGATGCCTTGTACCACTCTAACAGCATTTGTCTTACGCCGTCGACCGATTAATCTCTCGGGCTTTAAGGCCGTTTCTTTCATGGAATGATTGCGTCCTTATTTTGTGGAGAACAGATTGCTCAGCTCCGGTCGTTGTGACAACCGTGAGTGCAGAGTGCTCGCTTCTTCGATTCGTGAGCTAGAATTCTAGTTGAATTCGTTCACACGTGGTTGTTAGCTCGTTACCACGCATTTGCCTTTAGAATGACAACCGTATCGGCGCTGAAGCCGCTGACGCAACGAGTGCGTTTGTCAGTCTTCTTTGAGGACGCATTTTCCGAAGTGCGTGTAAAAGCTTGCTGCTCCTCCCTTCGCTAGGATTGCCCGTACGGCTTACAAGTCATGAGGTTCGGTATTCCGTTACGCATCAGAATACAGAATATTCGTTCTCTACCGAGAGTGAACTTGTACATGTGGTTGCCTGGTCACAATTGCTCACGTAAGCTAGAATGGCGACGATCAGAGCTTTGGCTGTCCCAATGTTGAGAGAAGACAGATATTTTGTTTTCCAACACGTTCGGGGACAGACGCCTAGTCTTCTTCTTCTCAAGATAACTTCATCCATAGGAATGAGTGAATCGGCGGAGCGAAGCGTTACATGCAGACAACATAACCTGGTGTCATCTACGCGGGGTAGCGATGAATGATCACCTTTTAACTAGACACAATCTTAGGATTTTAGGCCCGACGGATATTTTTCAGGAATAACTGTGGATCAAACTTTAAGATCACGTCCCAAATTGGGATGAAACGAGACACGCCACTGATTCCTGGTCACACAGATCGTCAAAGATCGTGGCAAAGATTATTGTCTCAGTTGACACTGCGACCACAGTAAAACCTGCTCCACGTAACCTATAAATGCTCCCTTTGGTCGTTGCCTAATTATCTTATAATGTTCGAGTTCCTTCGCTGATACGATACAGCTTGGCAACCCACGGATTGAGCAGCTTACGTGAGCCATGAACGAAAGCCTTGTTCCTCGCAGTCTAACTGTCGACTTACCTCAGGACTATACCTGGTTGGCATGTTATTCCAATAAAGGCCAGCTAGTTTCCACATAGAAGCTGAGAAATTCTGATTGCAAAGTTTTTGATAACGCATCAGAAATCGAAGGTTGGCACACCCAGCTTTAGCTCCCATGTCCATCGGCGCCTGCGTTCAGTCCACGAGGAATGTGTCCGCTAAAACGCTTTTCCAAGGGTGCGTCAAGCAAAACTGTCCACATTCTGAGTACCAGAGTGAGTTGAGTTATTCCCGAAGGTCGCGACACAGCTGCCACCAATCTTGAACGAAGTCCATGAAATTGGTTGACAAAGCGGAAACTCAAGCTGACTGCTGAGATACAGCAAACTGGCAATTTATTACTTCAGAGCACGCGTCGAAGCAACTCCGTCCGTTCGTGACCTGCATACTGACCAATATCAAATTGGTGACTCAAACTGATTGAGGAGTTTCGGCTGACTTGTTGAACGTCGTTTGTGCACGCCTTGAACACGCAAATGTTCCTTCACGTTCTATGAGCTTCCACATGTGACTGCCTCGTCACAATTGTTGACGTGTATGATGTATTCAGATAAATGCACTTGCTCTTGCCCCCCTCAGCTGACTTCTGGTAAATTCCGGGATGCATCTTCGCTGTCCAGTTCGCCCGAACTCATGATCACACCCCTGTACACGGCACTGGCTAACTCATTCGCCTGAGTCCGTAGCATTGTTTACTCAGTTATTGTTGTTACCACGCAGATTGCCGCAACAAATGAAGAAAAACAAGTAACATTTTCTGTGACCACACGCTGGTTTCACAGGTGATATCTTACTCACCTGTGCGGACTAAGTATTCCGTGATCACGAGTATTGAAAATGAACAAATGTGTTCATTTGTTGCTATGGATGCGGTTTAGAAAAATCATCTACAGAATATATAGACCAGCGCTGATGCATCGGAATGTAAATTTATACACGAGAAGAGAGAGGCGATAACTTTCGTTCCAAATGCCCTGTATATTCAGATACTGGTCTATAGGTACTAAATTGTGCTCCGCAGGCACCGTCTGCGATCAACCCATTGCAAACTCAGTCAGACTATCTTGAAGGTAAAATGGCCACCTCAAATTCAGGCCCCTTGTGAATGCAGTATGTCCCCCGACTTGCTCATTGGTGTGCGAAATGAACCGTCAGCGATCAGGCCCGTCTGTACGTAGTTGATGATTAAATTCATCTGACTTACATGCAGGCTGATAAATTTGTGATGAGGATAACTTGACATCAACAGCATAAATTGTCTATTTTTCCCATTCATCCATCTCCCTCCTCAGGGGGGAAAACGGTGGCGTAGCTCTATGTAAGGTAATTGAAATCACACGGGATTTTCGAAACCTTATGTTAATGGAGTCTTCGCTATGGTGAATAACCGGCTTCCATTGGCCAGGCACAATCGTCATCCTGGTGTAAGTTGTACATGTCTTACCGGAAAAAGAATCGATTTGTGGCGTCTTCTCGAATGTCTGAAGGAAGCGAGCAGCTGTGGGTTGCCATTTCTTGGAAAGATTTCACGAATAACACAGTTATCAAAAACGCATCGTCCTCATTGCCTTGAGCCTTGTTTTGGAAGTTCAAGTAAAGCTTATTAAAAAACATTTTCATTTCCAGTATCAACAAGTACCAACGAACATAGGTCCCTGGTCTCTACTCATTAGGTTAAACGGAGATAAATGATGGAGCCGCAGTCCATGATTGGTCATCGAATTGAAAGTGAGAACACATACAACTGACGCCTATCTAAATTTGAGTCTAATAAACCCGGCTACAACCGTACTTCGAAGTGGATTTTTAGCTACTGGGTT